ACGTGAAAAATTAAATAGTTGCCTGTTATACCAAACTCGTGCATGAGAGTCCCATGAATGATGCTAGAGTTTCTCAAAATCCGTTCCTGCTTTATCACTTTAGTCAACCTTCTTCTTCTTCTTAAAATCATTTATCTGCCGCAAACAAGGAGAAATCCATGCAAAATGATGCAATAGCTCTAGAGAGAGTTCATATTTTTTATTGCAAATATAAAATAGAGAATGGCCTGTAATGGCCATTGGAGTTGTGTACAGGTTGGTCGTTTGTGTTTTTTTCCTGCAATATAGTCACGGTTTTCCTCCTCACAGTCCCACTCTCCAGCTGACCAAAACAGACACTTCGCTATCAAACAGTGATAAGATGACAAACAATCGGCCCAACTAAACTCAATATTTTCTACATGGAACATAAATACATGTAATTAAAATTACTAAAATTTTAATAATTTTTTTTTAAACACATAATTTTAAAAGTACAATGAGTTCAACGCTAAGAACGTAACCTAATTAATAACTGAACTAATCAAGTTTAAATCTTGGGTTTGTTTCTGTTTCTGGTCATATAGGGCATATGGGCATAAGGTAAAATCAAGATTCAGGATAGATTGGTCTCAGTGAGCAAAGAAACAAAAAGATAATACGAATACGAGTACAGCCACGACTTGTCAGATTCTCTTCCTATGCTCTTTCTTATTCTTTCTCCCGGACCAATCATCTTTATCTCATACACGTACATTAATTCTTTTTTCACACTCTGTGGCCCTTTATATAGTACTCCTATTTCTGACTCTCATTATCTTAAAACTTCATCACGAGTATAATCATTATCACATAGGGACATGGCTACTTCAAGGATGAGATTACTAGAGCTGCTTTTTATCTTAATGTTACTGTTTGCTATTAGGGCAAATGCTAAAAGGGGTAAGCATTCTAGGAGGCATAATAAGTTGAGGGTGGCTAATGAAGATGGTTTCTTGAATTGGATTAATCTCATGAGTTCTCGCAATCATTCTGTATTCCAAGAAGCGAAGAATAAATTTGAGCCTTGCAAATTTATTAAGGTGAATAAAAACCCAAAGCATGGAGATTTTACTACGGTTCAAAAGGCTATTGACTCAATTCCGATAGTCAATTCTTGTCGAGTGGTTATTTCTGTTAGTCCTGGGATTTACAGGTAATTAATTATGCACATTACTTTCCATCGTCTTGTTTTCTGCATCTTGATTACGTACGATAAGGCATTCAATAGAAGAGAAACATGACATAATTCGGTGGAAGAAATTTTGTCTAATTGAGGTTAAAAAATTTGCAGGGAGAAGATTGAAATTCCAGCAACAATGGCATACATTACACTGGAAGGTGCAGGTTCACGCAAAACAACTATCAAATGGGATGACACTGCAGATAGGTTAGGAAAAGATGGCCAGCCAATGGGAACGTATGGTTCTGCAACTTTTGCTGTTAATTCTCCCTACTTCATTGCCAAAAACATCACCTTTAAGGTAAATTGTGTATTGTGTTTAGTTAAATAAGATGCATGTAGTAATGCTTATTTTTAGGGAATAGCGATGCATGTATTGTCAAGGTATAATTTTTAAGTTTAACTTATTGAAGGTAATTAAAGGCAACGATTGTAACTAGAAAAATTCTGTTCTGTGTTCAGTTTAACATGTTCAATTGCACTAGTTTTCTGAAAAGTTCATTTACATAGTTAGTGAATGTCAGATAAATTCATAATTATTTCCTCCGTGAACAGAATGTAGCACCACCACCACCATCAGGGGCACTAGGAAAGCAAGCGGTGGCATTAAGAATCTCAGCAGACACAGCGGCGTTTATAAATTGCAAATTCATTGGAGCACAAGATACACTGTATGATCACAGGGGTAGGCATTATTTCAAGAACTGCTATATACAAGGTTCTGTGGATTTTATATTTGGAGATGGACTATCCCTCTATGAGAATTGTCATTTACATGCCAAAACAAAAAGTTATGGGGCATTGACAGCCCAGAAGAGGGAGAGCATGCTAGAGGAAACTGGATTCTCTTTTGTGAATTGCAAGGTTACTGGATCTGGTGCTCTTTACTTGGGCAGGGCTTGGGGTACTTTCTCAAGGGTCGTATTTGCTTACACTTACATGGATAAGATCATCACTTCAAAGGGATGGTATGACTGGGGGGATAAGAACAGGCATATGTACGTTCCTTCCTTTCTTTTTTTCTATCGTACTTCTTACTGCACATTTTAAACCCCCCCAAAAAAATAAAATTATTTTGTTCGTCTAATATGATTGGTAATGTTCCCATTATATTGCTCTACAGGACGGTATTTTATGGGCAATTCAAGTGTTCGGGACCAGGGGCAAACCACGGGGGCAGGGTGAAATGGTCCAGGGAGCTCACTGAACAAGAAGCTAAACCGTTTGTATCACTCAGCTTCATCGATGGTCATGAATGGCTTCTCAATATTTGATGGTTTCTTTATTACCTATCATACTCATGTACAATTCTTCAATATAACATAATTAAATTTTACACTAGAAAATAATTGTCCCCAACCACCATAATATGGATCAACTTTCTCATCCAGGCATATCTGCATAGTCGCTATTTAAAAGCTACAACTCCAGCTACAACAAAATGAAGAAAACATTTTTTAAAGAAAGTAGCTTTGCTTGCCGAAGTACAGTCATTTAAGAATACGATATATACCCGAACACTTACAAGGTGATAGTTGCTTTCAAAAACTGTTGTAACTCTTCTCCAAAAGCTCTTACAATTTTTTTAAAAATTAATTTTCAGTTTTGATTGAAAAGTCAAAATCTTTCACCACCTAAGTTGGGCAAGCCAGCTGAAAGATAACATGCCACCAAGCTACACGTAATTGAATAATGATGCAGCAAGCATTGTATTACATAAGCTGGGAGCTATGTATTCAAGTTTAAAAGAGACATCGATTATAAATAAAAAAATAAAAAACTGTACAACTATAAACAAATGTACATGGTATACAATTCCACCACGACGGTCAGTTGCTTTCTTCACGTAATTGAACTGTACAATACCAACAGGCAGCCTGACAAAAGAGAACTGGAAAAGTCAACAACAAAAAGAAACATACAAGCCTTTAGGGAGATGAAATCAAAAGGGCAACGGAGAAAGACATGCTAGCATTTACTGGCAAACAAATATAAGTCCACTAGCCATCATATATAGAGAACATCATCTTGGGACATGTTCCAGATTGTGGTGGAGAAGATACCCAACTCCTAAAGAAAATGGACACTTCTTAAACAGGAATTCTGGATATATGCAGCAAGGACAACCCACACCACCCCCAAGACAAAAGGGGGAAAAAAATTGAAGCGAGAGAAATTACTGGGAATTAAATCAAGACACACAGCGATGGCATGATCTTTTTTTGCAACCAAAATGCAAACAGTTGTCAACAACTACAGGAAAATGCTACTGTTCGTTTAGAAGAATGTCTCCCTATATCAGAGAAAACTGAAAAGTGAACAGAGGCCACGCACCACACAGATCATTAAGACTGGAAGAGAGTTACAGTCGCAATGTAACCATTCTTCATCACCTGTGACAAATAAGCAAGATCCTGGTAAAGTAATAACAAAACACAAAGAAAGAAAGAAACATAAAGTGTAAAGCAGAACCACAGCTGGGAATGGTCACTATAAAGTGGTATATAGACATTTATTTGAAACAAAAAATTCACCTCAAAGGCAAGATTTTGGTAGCCATATACAAAGGTAGATCCAAATGGATTGCTTGTAGAGCCTTGCGTTTGGATAGCAGCTCGACCACAATCCCCTAGTATCTCCTGCAGAATCATTGCAACTTAATGATGAGTCAGCTTGAAATTGAGACCAGAAAAAGAAGATATCTGATGATAGTTATGGATACACAGATAACACTACACTAACCATTTGCTCATGAGTTCTAAAATATCATATAACATGAGCATATTGAGAGTTTTAAAAAAATGTGGTGGGCGGGGGCTTCTAGAACAAGGGGGAGTAACAATTATGCAGAACACAGTCAGTGAGAACTCCCAACTTGATAACCTCAAAGGAATACCAATGAATAAATAAAATAAAAACATATGAAACACGAAAGGAAGAATCCACCTTAACTTGTTCCCACTTTGAGCTGGCTGTTATAGTGCCTTTAGAGGAGTTTACATCCTGATTATATGACCCAACAACTGCAATCATATGATGCAAAATGTAAAACGAATATCTAACTTTTCTACATTGATATAATAAAGAGGGATTTAGTCTTGAAAGAATCAACTCACAATCAGAACAGTGGATAACAAAATTGCACTTCATATATGAATTGAAATCGGCATGCCCAGGATAGTTGGTGTGCAAGACAAACTTCTTGATCTTATGTGTCTGCAAAATAAGCACAATAATCTGTGAACCAACATCGACTTCATAAGTGCTCATAGAAACTCAGAGGATGATATACCTGCCCATCAAATAGTATATCTATGCCACGAGTAAAGTAGTTGTAGAAGTAATCACCACAAAGGGTGGTCCTCGGTCTGGGATCTGAAGCAGAATGAATCACCATTTGATCGACCTGTATAGAGGACAAAGTCAATCTCCACCAAAAATCTAACATGTAGAAACCTGACAAAAACTCACAAGAAGTTGTGTACGTCAATTTTCTGTTGGACAGTAAAAACAATGTACCTGTTTCTGATGGATTCCGCATGGTCGACCTAATTCGGTCCAAACATCCTGCATAAAGACAAGATAAGATTGCATGGTTGACTCAGTCATCATAACGTGTATAATAAAGTAATTGGACAAAATACAGTCCACAGAAAAGCCAATACCAGACTGCCACACAACATATAGGCACAACTAGATCCACGCGTTCTAAAACCAAAAGTGGAACTACTAAATGAACTAAGTCAACACCAAGTTCAATATATGACCTAAAATAGGTTTTAAGCCCCTTCAAAATACAGGAGAAGTAGAACTTCAGAATTGCAGCCCCTTCCTGAACTTCATTTTCAGTAAAAGGGATATGATAATTAGATGGAATCTAGACTGAAGATAGTATTCATGTGAACACCATTAGAGTTTTCACAACATCAAGGAAAAAATTATTCAATGGAAGAAAGAGATAATTTGCACAACTGTACCAAATAATTAACCCAAAACAATCTAAAGAAAGAGGAGTTACCTGTGGTGATGCACCAAAGGGAAACAATCTAAAGAAAGAGGAGTTACCTGTGGTGATGCACCAAAGGGGATGTGTTGGCCACCAATGCTAAACCATAATTCTTCCCCCAGCTAAAGAAAACAGAAACAAACATAATCATCTGTAAATCAACTGAATTGCATGTCGGAGTAATTTCAATTGTCAAACGTAATAGACGTTACTTGACACATCTTTTCTGATCTAAACTACTGTGCACAAACATACAAGAACTCTGGTCTCTTTTATCTTTGAAATTAGAAAATACTACGAAACTATTCATTAGATTCAGCATTATGGAGCACGGAAAAAAAAAATCTAACAACAAAATCAAACTAGATTTCATACCTTATCTATTTTAAGAGAAAGCAGAAGGTGTAGACGGCAGACACTGCTATTTTACGAATTCTAACCTCAAAAATAATAGGCATTTGCGAGTGGAGTAAGAACTATTAAAATGGAATGGCACCAGATTTAGTTTACTTTAATTCCATGTCCCTTCCTTCACAACTTGAGAGAGCACTAAGATGAAACAAAAGCACCATCAAGTTGATGCAATACTACAATTTTCTTGCTTGCAAGTTTGAATTCTCTGATGATTGATTTATAACAGAGATAGACACACATATCAGTCATAACTGCAAAATCCCAGAGGTCAACTTCCTTTTGCAATGGCTATATAATTGGAAAAGCAACACAAAATCATGAAGAAGCTAACCTAACGGTTCTCTGGGAAAAGAGAGCTGTGAACGGCCAAATTTAAGCAAATTAAATCTAAGCTAAAACTAATAAATTCCAGACGTGAACTTCCTTAAAGATCAGCTCTATGTAATGAAAAGCACCACAAGCGCGCAAAGTGGACATCCTAGAGAGTTTTCTACCTGAGAAACAACTAAGAGATGCAGCTTGAAGTAGGAGGACTAGACTTATTATTAAAACATTATTCAATAAGAAATCACATATAACATTAGAAGAGACTGCACAAAAACTTCAGTGTAGATATGTGAAGGACCGAAATAAACCTTTACATGCACTTCTTCCATGTAGAGGCTGCCAGCAGGAAGTGGAGGAGTACAGGCCTTGTCCATCATAGATCCAACGCCAACTTTACTGCCAGTAGAACTATCATATATTGATACACGGCAAGTAACAGGAGTCGTGCCATCTGGAAACTCCAGAGGTAGTTCCGCTTTTGAAGTGGGAAGAGAAAGAGAAAGAAAGGAGGAAAAAAATTTATAAGCGTAGATAATTTGAGTCTGCACAAGTGTGAACAACAAAAATAGCCAGGAATACCTTCTCCATCACGACAACAGTCTGTATACTGGGAGGGAATTGGAAAAGCAAACGACAATCCCTGCAAAGTTGCAAACCATCAGAAGCCTCAACACAGAACTAAATGATGGATAAAAGAATTGGAGATAAATGTGTCATTTCATAGACATCGGCTGCACATACTGGATAAAATAGAGTGTAAACTCCTCGATCCTTGTCATATGTTCCTGGATAGGTTGGCCCAAAAAGAGTATAGACTGCTACAAAAGTGGCTAAAGTGGACGGCCCACTGAAAGCAACAAAATTAAAAGACAATTTAATGAGCAGAAATGTAGGGGGGTGTAAACACAGCATTATGAAACCAATCCATTTAAAGAGTTGTGAAAGTAACACTATGAAAACTTACCCTATTACAGAGGTTGCATAGCGCATCTGGAGCCGTTTTACATCAAAAATTTCAACAAGGCGCAGCCTCTGAAACAGGTGAAGACTTAGAGAGTCAGAGATGCTTGAAAAATGTTCCCAGACGTCCACTATGCAAGCAGAATGCTCGAGTAGTGGTGGCAAAATGGATAAAAAAAATAATTATCCACCCATATTATCCGTTAAAAATGGGTTGGATAATGAACTCTTTAAAAATGGGCCAAATATGGATAAAATCCATAATTATCCACTTAAAAAATGGATACTTAATGGATAACCGGGTTTAGCTTTTACATTTGCATTGATTCAAATTGGGGGTTCCTCAAATTTGGGAGACTAGAAATTCTCCCAAAAATGACCACATTCAAGAAGCCATGGATAATATGAGTATCCATATTATCCGCCGGTTAACACATTCTCTAATCATATTAAATATGGGCAGGGCAGATAGTTTATCCGTTTTTGCATTACCGAGTTTTCGACTCACTCATATCCGACTTGATCCGCTCATTTGCCATCCCTACGCTTGAGCTAACTTAAAAATGAAATAAATCTTCTAAAAAAGAAACTTACAAAAAAATAAAGTCATGAGAAAGAAAAGTATAAAAGAAGTAAATTTAAAAGAGAATCACATAATTTTGGAAATATTTCCAGAAAGGTATTTCCATAACTCATTCTATCCCAAACCACGTTACGCTTCGGAAATATACATATCAAGAAAACTAGAGAACAAAGATGTCATCACGTTGTTCATACTTTTGCAAGTATATTCTTTATTTTGGGGTAAATCAAAGGAATTTCATTAATGCGAACCGAGATGATGCGAAGTGCTAAGGGGGAAAAGGTGTTTAGCGTTGAGCTTCTAGAAAACTATCCAACGATCTAGAAATAACTTAATCTCTTATTTACACCAAAATATAGGTAAAACAAGGTAATATTGATCTTCGACATCCCTCGTTCAACCCCTTCAGGCATCGTCCTGCTTTTTTCTCTCCGAATCATACATAATTGCATCAGTGCATTTTTTCTTTTGATAACCGAGAAATCCCATAGGGCTAGTGACGCGCGGTTAGAAACTCGACGGATAATGGGCCCACTCCTCTACCCTTTTCCACTTAAATACCAAGCTTTTGGAAAAGTGCATCATGGTATCATTTCTAAAGCTTCCTCCTTTCCTTCCCCATTTCGCTCAGCCTCCACGTTGCAATGGCATCTTCGACTGTGCAGCAAAATAATTACGGAATACACAAAACTCCTCCCTGCCCTGAATAGCGAATAGTGTAATGAAGGAGCGAAAGACTATTGTCTTCCCCTTTTTTCTTGCACATGCAACACTGACTATAGCCATTATGTAACTTCTCCTCCTATAATTGTTGCAACCTAAGGATAACGTCTGATCCCGCTGGTGGGATTTCAGTAGGTTTGTTGTTGTTGTTGTTGTTGTTGTTGTTGTTAAGGATAATGTCCCATGAAGCGCACCAAGCAAAGAAAGCCAATTTTTAGTGGTTTTTAAACCATACATATAGAAAGGCTCCAAAAGGAACACCCCCNACTGCCCCTCCATAGTCACTACACTATTAATCTCCAAGGGAATTGCTCCATTTCCTACCACTCCCAATGTTTTATGGGCTTCTCAAAGATATATCCCAAGAAATTCCACAAGTATCCTTTCCGAGTAGATCTGAAATTGAACCTCCATATCATTTGCAATTAAGCATAAATGAGGGTACTTGACCTTTAATTACTTTCCCGCACCACATGTCAAGCCAAAATAGGATACAATTGCCTTTTTCCCATGAAATCAATATATTTTTTTAAATCGATCTTTCCCCTCACTATTCCTTTCAATAGAGAAGATGAATTCACCTTTTAGAAAGGAGACAACAATTCGGACAATCCACAAAAGGTAACAAGGACAAAAACATAAGATGAATTCATCCATACATTTCACAATTTTGAAGGTTCTCTTGGCACTATTTCCTAAATTTACAGCTTAAAGTTTAATTATAAAGCTTCACCACACCCTAAGAAAAGAAAAACTCATATTACTCCTTATGAATTTTTTACTATATAAAGGTGATGCGGCACTAGCAATCTTGCACAAAATTAACTTTCACTATTTTTTACCCTCCCTAGGAGTTCCCCCCCTTTTTGCTCCATCAGTGACTCGTACCCACAACCTCAAGGTTGGAGGTGAAGGGTGTTTACCACTTGAGCAACCCTCTCTTGTCCACTTTCATATTTTTGCTGCCAGCATACAGGGGCGAAGCTACTTTGGTTTAAGGGTGGTCAACTGACCACCCTTCGCCGAAANTGAGCAACCCTCTCTTGTCAACTTTCATATTTTTGCTGCCAGCATACTCCAGCTTAATAAATCTTTCGTTTCTCCAACTGCAGTAACGTGCACTTGTTTCTTCCCGTGCTCTACGCCGAATTCAGTTCAATAAAGTTTGCACATCTAATGTGCATTAAAATAAATGATCAGTATTACAAATAAAGGATATAATGTCAGGAAAAGCTGACAGTGCCACCACATTTTAGCTATGCATTAGTAAAGAATGAGCAGTAAATAAAATATCAACAGTTCAACTGAACAAATTACATTCAATAATCTTCCCATACAAGGTAAATGAATCTTCTCATTAACAAGACCCCAGCAGTAAGAGAAATGCATGCAGCAAACCTAATACCTGCGACCAAGGATCAAACCGCAGATGAAATCCATGATCTGGGAAGCTAATGACAATGTCAAGTTTTAAGGGCTCCTGCAAAACATAAAATTGAGCATTGAGCTATTTGTTATCTAATTTTCATGATGCTGGTGCGCAAAACTAGCCATGGACACACTATTGATTATGGTGTATCATATTAGGATAACATGTAAAACCTGAAAATCTCAGAACCATGTTATGCATGCAAATTGCAGAATTTTGTTTATAAACCCATTATGACTCCTACTACAAAATAGATTACGGGCTAAGGAAATGTTTCTATTCAACCAACAAAGGTACAAGCGTGTGACTAAGAAACAGCAGGACACTAAATAACAGAAAAGGGATTATTTAAAAAGCGAAGTGGTCAGCAATTGGAAAAAAGCTTGTTTTGAACTCCAAAGCAACTAAATGTTCAGAGAGTAAAGTTGATTAAAAAAGACATCTAAGATGCACAATTTAATGAGGTCCTCCAGTCAACTCGCTTTAACAAAGACGATATTCAGTTGTTGTTCCCGTAAGCCCAATACATATCCTAGCTGATACAAGAAATGAATCTCACTATAATAAGGAAAATGTACAAAAAGATGAACTTTGTAAAATTCTCCTACAGATATAGTAAAATAGAAGATAGCACAAATCAGCAACAATATTGTCCTAGGACAGACTCGCTGAATCATACCTCATCATAATACTTCACATGGACAACATCGTAAATGTTAGGCTGCTGCTCTATCTGTGCAAAAGCTTCGCAAATAGGCATTCCTGAAACATTTGCAGGCATTAACACAAATCATTACTTGTAGAATCAACAAAACTAAACCACAACAATCACAATTCGACCAACAAAGTAACTAGAATTGAACAATTGATCAATCAATTTAGAAAACAAAACATAAAATAAGACAAATTAATCAACCTAATTGACAATCGATGACCTAATCGGTAACTAAATTGAAATTACCGAGAGTAAAAGGACCGATGCCAGCACCAGGGCGGAGATCGAGAACGATAGCGCCCATGGCTGTGCCTTCGCAGCGGCGTCTCGGCCTCTGCATCCTTTGTTGTCGATGTTTGTTGAAATACGTTTCGTAGAGTCGAGTTGAATCGCGATTGTGACTTTTATGTCTACAGACGACGATAGATAGCTTTAAGTAGGAGGCAACTGACAACGATGTGGCAAAGTCGAATGGATGGAATCTTGTTACGGAATTTGGCACCCAGCACACGAAACGTCGGTAACTTGGAACATCTTTTGTTTTTTTACTTTTTGCTAATGTCTTGTATTAACCCAATTCAAACTTGGTCATCACTTACGGGAATTGTGAAATGGACGAACTAAAGATTAGAGTTAATGGAGATTTTGATAAGAAGTTTTCCTAATGAATTTACCTGGCATGAATTGGATAAGTTGGGCGAGTGATGTTGTGAATGGGGCCAAACAAAATGAGGCACTCGGGCCTGCGAATGGATTACACTGGGTCAAATGATTAAACAACCCAAAATAAGGTTTTTGGTTTATTATTAGGACCTGAGTTGAGGTACACGTGTTGAAGAGCTATTGAGCAAGAGGAAATATAGTGGTTATAATTATCAGATTGTGCGAGGAAGAAAGCATGCCTATTATTGAAGAAAAGAATGTTTGTTCCTTTCATCTCCTTCCTATGAGTCTAAGCTTCTCATCTCCCTTCTTCTATCTATCCTAGTTACTTTACTTCGCGCAATTCTTATTGTATTTCTGGTATTTGAGTTGTAATCGCACTTCAATCTTATTAGTACATTTGAGAATTTGGGTTTCTGTTACATTAGATTTGAGATCATTACATTGGTGCTTACATCCAGAGGACTCCAATGGCAGCGATGTTATTAGATCGATTCAGCGGCGGCGACAACCCAGAGAGTTGGATTTTTCGTGTCGAACGGTACTTCACCTACCTTGGCTTCTCAGAGAAGGACTGGCTACCTCTTTCTTACTTCTACCTTGATGGTGAAGCTCTTGCTTGGTTCACTTGGTTGCATCGAAACAAACAATTCTTCGATTGGATGCATTTTAAAGAAAAATTGAGTATACGATTTCGACAAAGGACATTCACAAATTCGGTGAGTAGGGAAGATACTCCACGAGCCTGTAATGACTACGTGAGTTACGCTAAATTTGATCCACCAGCGACCTCTGCATCTTCAGTTGCAACTCTGAGCCATGTCCCGAAATCATCTGACTTGGAAGCTGCCTTCAACCGTGGAAACTCCAAGGCAGCCAATGTGTTCGATAAATTGTCCAATAGAGCTGATGAGCGTGAATCGCCATCTTCAGTTCCATCTCCTAAAATCCAGGTGGCTTCTGACTCTGTTGAACTTGAACCTTTAGTTTATGCAGATAGTGAAACTAAAGCTTTAGCAAACGATGAAGACAAAGTGTGTGACAAAAATTCACAAGGAACTAACTCGGTTCTGCTATACCAATCTTCACATACTGTTTCATTACCAATTTGTTATTACTACTCATTTTTGCTTCCATCCAGTGTTGAAAAATCAAATGCACAGGTCGTGTTTCCCTCAGATTGGCTCTCATTTGAACGAAGGAAAAATAAGCTATGTGAATAAGGTGTTCGCTGAAAGTCCCAACAAAGATACTTCAGAGTTACTTAGTCATGTTTCACATAAGGAATCATAGTTGATTCCTTTTCTAGCTAGATACGAGTATATACATCAACATGATACGAAGTTCATGATAGTTAATGAGCTTTCAGTTACTGTGAAGTCTGTATCTGATGAAACCTTATTTGTTGAGTCTGAAAATCCAGCTTGGGATGAAGAGTTTGTGTTGGTAATTAAGCAACCATTACAATGAGATTCTCAGCTTGTAGGGTTGAGTTGCATAATACTACATGGTTGCTCTACTTTGCCTTCTAATACTTAGAAAACAATTTTGAATACGGTTGAGAAGAATGACGTGATGATGGTAGAGGATTCTATACATTACTATAAGATAGTGACTGACATTTATGGAATTACGCCAGATGCCGCAGGAGAGCTAGTAATGTGCACGGCTGTTTATATACATTCTAATGTTGGGTGGGCATTATTCAGTTCTTGTGCTTGTAGGAGGGGTCAGTTTCCTTGTTCCTGCACTTATCTTCAATTTGCATCCACTTCCACCCTCTCACTTCGGACTTGACTTTCCATTTGACCCCGGTTCACGTTTGCATCCCTCGTACTGGAGCAATGACACTAAGATTGTTGGACTAGGTGTCATATTTAATAACATCGAATTAGAGTTGCTTGTTAATATTGCCTTTTATTTTGTTTTGTTTGCTACTATTCGTAAAGCTGGTGTGTGTTGTACAACGTGCATTGGTATGACCGAGAAAGCTTTACAAGAATTTAAGTGTATGTTGGCTACAGGTTCAAATGCATTTCAGATTCAGATTTCCACTTGGCGTAAACTCTTTAAAGAGCAGCGGAAGCACAATAGAATACATCGAGTTACTCAAGTCACTCCCTGGCCTAAAAATCCCTTTTGCTTACATATATGCAAATGTTTTGATACTGGTCAGATGCACAGGGGTAGCTTCATGTACTTAGCTACGACTGAACTAAACAGAGCAATTATAGAAATACTCTATAAAAATCTTTCAGTAGAAGAAACTGAGGTCTTTGTCTCTGCTGCTGCACAATATAACGCCTCCACGGTACAATTCCTTCTTTATTCCAACATGTCAATAAGTGAACAGAGACCAACTAAAGACAAAGTAATACTTGGGAATGCAAGATGCACTTTGAGCGACATGAATACGACGATATCTAGGGATGGTGTTGTTTATATTGTAGGGATGGTGTCTCTCCCCCTATCTTATACCAAGGAATTCAAGGTAAGTGTGCAGGGAATTAAAGTAACCATTCGTGCAACTGTGGATCTATATGTGTGAATCATGGGATAAGTTCCGCGTTCTTGGCTCTAACTGGTTATACAGAGAATGTGGCGGCACTAATATTGTTGGGCAGTACTGACAAGTTTTGCTTCATTGCATATTCTAACTCTAAGACTAGAGTGTAGGATCTCGGACAACCATGATTTGTGAATTCCTATAATTTACAATCTGATTTGGCCATGTCAGTTACTAGTTTACCAAATTGTGTCGAGGAGATAAAACTGGTATGCATCAATGATGCTCACTGCGCATCTTTTGAAATTATCAATTTTCTAAATAGTGGTGATGGCATCCTTATCAAAGGCAGTAGTCAAAAACAACGGGGAATGTCTTTGGCTCTTGTGAACTGCACTTCTCCTGAAGAACTATGTTGTGCAATAGTGAGAGAGAATAAGTTAACTGAATTATCTCTATTGAGTGTGAACTTTTGGAAAATTAGCACAATACATGCATCTATTTTTGGGAGTGGGTATATGTCAAACATATACCAGGTTGCTCTCTTTTTATCAAGATATATAAGTATTATGATTCTACGTGGACAAAGATTTCAGTTACAACACCCCATGATCAGCCTGCTTCTTAAAGCCATCACTGCTTTTGATCCTTGCTTTGAGAGGATTGTCCGGGATGCTCTAGTCAAGTGTGACCCTCTCCATGCAAAACTCCTAGCTTGCTGCCTTATGATTTGTGGGGACACAGTGCCAAATGATGTCAACATTACAACTATCTCAGGTCACGTTCACAAAATTATGACAGATCACGTCTTCTTATTCTATTTCCCAGCACACCTTTGTATAAAGACAGTTGGCGGAGTGTGCACTATTAACACTGTTCTTAAGCCAAACCTTGAGGACAAGGTTCTTATTCAAGGCAGAATTATTATTGTGAATGAGGCCGAACAAAATGAGGCACTTGGGCCTGGGAATGGATTACACTGGGGTCAAATGATTAAACAACCCAAAATAAGGTTTTTGGTTTACAATTGGGACCCGGGTTGAGGTACGCGTGTTGAAGAGCTATTGGGTAAGAGGAAATATAGTGGTTATAATTATCAGATTGTGCGAGGAAGAAGGCATGCCTATTGTTGAAGAAAAGAATGTATGTTCCTCTCATCTCCTTCCTCTGGGTTTAAGCTTCTCATCTCCCTTATTCTATCTATCCTAGTTACTTTACTTCGCGCAATTCCTATTGTATTTCTGGTATTTGAGTTGTAATCGCACTTCAGTCTTATTAGTACATTTGAGAATTTGGATTTCTGTTACATTAGATTTGAGATCATTACAAGTGATAGTCTGTTTGGTTGGGCGAGTGATAGTCCGTTTGGCCAAGCTGGGAAAATTAGCTTATTTTGAGAATTATTTTTTTTCAAAAGTACTTTTGTTAAGAATTAGTTTATTTTTGGCTAATTAATTTTAAAAGTACTTCTAAACAGCAATTAGTGTTTGGCCAAGCTTTTAAAAGGTAATTTTAAGTGTATTTTTCTCAAAAGTGCTTCTCGGAAGAAGCTACTTTTTTTTGCTTCTACTTCTCCTCAGAAGCACTTTTTTCTCCTAAAAGTTTGGCCAAACACTTCAAATTTGAAAAAAAAGTACTTTTTTGTAAAATAATACTTTTAAACTTGGAGAACCTTGGCCAAACAGGCTATGAATTTCTAATATGTTAATCCCAAAAAAATCCGAAATTGATTATGGACTAATTTGTCCTTGATAATCAGGTTGTGGATAAAGGAGTAGCAAAGTATTTTAAAAGGCTATAAAGTCACAATCAGCCCCTAAATTTATCCTTATTTTTCACTTAAACACCTCAACAGACATTTATTTTTATTAAACACTTCAATCTTAATAAACCTACTAGTTTCTCGACACGTGCGTTGCACGTGTGTATCGAGTTCATTAGTACACGTTATTATGAAGTAACATTAAAATTATTAAAATAAAGTTTTTAGCAAGTAAGTATACATGGAAGAATGTAGTATAATATTTTGTGAATGATCATTGAGGATCATCGTCAATTGAATTATTCGTCTAAACATGCAAAGATAAACAATAAAAAATAATAAGATACATGTGATTTGCATACTTATCTATGAAATTGAGGTTAAAAATTTGTAATTAAGTGTATCTCATCTAATACTTCCTTATAAACGATATTCCTCGCGTATGTTCTTTCCATTCGTTTTGGTTGTTCTGTCATAACCAAGACTCTTATTGTCAACATTGATATCCCTCTTGAAAGTGCAATGTAAAGTTGTTCGGGTTTGAAAACATGTAGATACAATCGAACATTGCATATTGTTTGACCCACGCTTTATTTATTGTCATTGTAAAACATAAGTGTACAAAAAAATATTTTCGCGCGAATTTGAAAGGATATCCTTCATTTTCAGGTGGACTTAGTTGGATTCCTGGAATAAACACATGCGTCTTAGCAAATTGACCCGTTGTAATTTTGGCATGTATGACATTGTTGTCAAATCCTCAACATATCATCCTTGTACCATTGAATACGCCATTTGAAGG